CAAATTGCCCATAAGGTTCAATGTAATTACCGTTAATCCGTTCTGCCATCCACGGACCACGCATCGGGCGGGAAAGCGGCCGGGTGCGGTGCAGTGCGGCACGGCGCGAAAACAGCCCGGCGCGGCGCGAAAACGGCCCGGTGCAAAAACGGCCTGGCGCGGCGCGGCGTGAAAACGGCCCAGCGCGGCGCGGTACGGTGCGAAAACAGCCCGGTGCGGCGCGAAAACGGCCGCGGACCACGCGGCAGGGCCAGAAAAACAGCCGCGGACCACGTGGCACGGGCGGAAAAATGGCCGCGGACCACGTGGCACGGGCAGAAAATGGCCGCGGACCACGTGGCACGGGCGGAAAATGGCTCGTACCCTGAGGCGGAGTTCGCAAACCGAGGTAAAATTTTGGGGCCAGAGCTGGTCATAACCCGAAAAATTCGCACGCAGAGGTGTTCGTATCCCGAGGAACCACTGTATATTCATATCCCCAACCAGTGTATCTCTAACTTCACCACAATCATACATTTATTCATAAATACATTAAACAACCAAGAGGACATCATGTATCTTTGTCTCACTCCCAGCTCAGTGTTGAATCATTTGCTAAGCATTCCACTGACTCTCATGCATGCTTTATTTCCATATACAGTGTACCACTCTTATCATATCAATATTGGTGTGAAACATTCTATGCTTATTCACTTTATTAGTTTCATAACTTTATGATAAGCTTTCCCTAAATCAAGAAACATACAATAATTTTTTTTCTTATACTTATCCATTTCAAATACCTGCTAAAGAGCAAAAATCTGGTTTGCACAGAGGCCTGCAAGCCATGCCTATGGAGACAGAGGATGGATGAGATCTGGCCCTTTACAGAAAAAAATTGCCAATCCTTGATGTAGACCAGTGTTTCTTAAACTTTTCATTCTCAGGACCCCTTGCCACTTTTAAAAATTATGAAGGGCCCCAAAATATGCTTTTATTTTGTATGGGTTGTATTTATCGATACCTGCCATATTAAAAATTAAAATGGATGCATTCATGGAATATTTATTTATTGAATTGTGTAAAAATAACAATATGAAACCCATTAGACATTAACATAAATAAAATATTTTTCATGAAAAAACACTATTTATTTTAACAAATAAAAATAATAATGAGAAGAGTGACATGCTTTTAGATTTTTGCAAATATCTTCAGTATCTGGCAAATCATTTTGATTTTGTGGACCCCTGAGAGAGTCTTGGGGACCCCAGGGCTCCTCGAACCACACTTTAAGAAACACTGATATAGAACATTCCCTGCTAATGATAAAGTTGGTGCCATTTGGTCAACATGCCACAAGCTCAACCAAAGCCCAGTTTTATCCTCAGCCTATTCACATTATTCTATGTAAGCTAAAAGCTCTAATCTAGAGACTACCTTGCAAGCCAACATAAGGTTGGAAGGTATTTACAGTATACTGATTCACCATCATCCTGGCCTTAGGAAGGTTTCAACCCTCATCAGAGCATGGGAGCAGATAGTTTTGTGATGCGATGTGATGTGATGCCATTTTGAAAGTGCTGAACACAAACTATAAATGGGGCAGATGACCTGGTTCTCCCCAGGCCTAGTTTATTGCCTGCCTGCCTAATGAATAAAGGATATTCACCTTCTCCCCATGGAGCTCAGCATCTCAACTTGCAAAATGGAAGTTAGCCTTCTTTACCCTGCCCCACTGCTTCTGCTTCAGCAGCAATTGCCAATGAGCTGTTCTTTATAATCTGTTGCTGGCTTCTGGGATGAGGGTGTGTACCTGTGAATATAATGAGTGGAGCCAGCAATTTCTTTCTGCTTAATTCAGGTCAAATTAATACTTGTGTATTTTATTTATAAAGTGTATAGGTACTTAGCAAATATGCATTCAACTTGCAGTTCTCTAATTCTGGCGTTGTGTTGTTTTATTTTGGGCATCTGTCACATCTGATTTTACAAAACAGGTGTTCGTGAAAAAGAGGAAGAATCTGGAAAAGAGCTTGGAGATGTCGACAGCCAGCCGCCTCTGCCTGAAAAGAGCCAGTCCATCTCTTTGTGCTTTCCAGATTATGATTTGGGCATCCAGATTCCCAGCCCTCTCAAGAGAAACTTTGTTATCCCTGCCTATTTGAGCGGCCCCCCTAGCTTCCCAATGCAAAACCGTCGTATCCCTATTCGGTTACGGCTTCCTACACTGAAAGAGTACTCATTTCATTTACCATCAGATTTAATAGTGAGCGGTGTGAATATGGTAGTCTCTTCTCTCCATTCTGTAATCCCGAAATCTGTCCCTAAAAAGCCGTTCATTTCTCAATATAACTATGAAGTCTTCAGTAGCCAGCTGATTGCTAAAGAGATGAAAGGTCCAGAGAAAGTTGCCACCATATTCTTAACACTGGACAAGCCTGACAGACAACTGCCAAGACAAGGTACTGGGTCCTTCCATTTCCTGAGTTTGGGTTTGTTTTAGAGGAAAAAAGGGAGAGATGGGGTCTCCTTTCATTTTATCCATTCCGAAACAGCCATGTGAGGTAGGTTTGGCTGAATGAGTAGCCCAAAGTCAACCAGTGAGTTTCTACAAGGGAGAAAGGAAGAGAACTTGGGTTTGGGGTTCTAAGAATATTCTTATGTGAGCTCTGAGCCCCCATCGGGCAGAGCAGGTGGGTGAAAGGGTGAAGATGTTAGGAAAGAAAGAACCCCCTCTTTGATTCCTCAGCTCAGCATATATGGGATCTTGCTCTAGTCCAGTTGGGGCTAAAACATAAGCACTCCTATTACAGGCTATGAACATACTACAATATTTTGTTGTAAATCCTCAGTTCTAAAACACATGGTTATGGGACATGCATTACTTCCTAAAATGGTAGAAACATGATACATTCAAGAACTAATTAAATGATGTATACCCTGGTCTCCCTGGGCTGTATGACTTCTGTTGAGTTTTAAATGAACCATGTTTAAAATGACTGCAGCAAAGACTGACTAGGCGCTCTCGTAAAAGTAATCTCTCAGATGCCAGTAGAAAATATTTGTTTCTTTCTTGATAATTTGAAGCAACCAGTTCCAACTATAGGAGGATACCACATGGCAGTACATTCCCTGGTTGAATCTTGGGTAGCAAACATATTTTTAAGGTCCTTAAACCCACTTACTTGGGATTGTACTGTGAATGGCAGCTACACATTCAAAGGTACATGGCTGCAAGGATTTCTCTTCTTTATGAATAAACCAACCATAGTTAGACTGATAATATTTTTCAGAAAAAAGTAGAAAGTTCATGCTGGATGAGGAACAGATCATGCTGGATGAGGAGAAGAAAATGAGAAGTAAAGAAAGGGAAATGAGAAAAAAGAGCAAGTCCTATGAAGGTATAATTTATTTTTATACTCTGTGTTGTGGTGGTGGAAGGGTCTTGGACGGATGTACTAACCAGTCAAACATTGTAAGTCTATGATTAAACCCACTCTCTCATACCACTAAACATAAGCACATTAGCTGATTTATGCATCACATTATGTAATTACTTGATTGTAGCCTTAGCAAAATCATAAAACATCATTTACAAACTACAGCAGCTACTTTCGCAGATTATGCTAAAACATAAATAGATCACACCAAGATCTTACCGCATGATGGAAATTACTATCTTGAATAAACAATACATTGGATTCAGGACAATTTGCCCAGCTGACCCCTTAATCTCACAATAATTTACATCCCTTCTGTCTTTCATACCATACATTATATTTTGTATGATTAAACAATGCTTTCTGAGATGCCCCAAAAAGAGAAGTATGGGGAGCACTGTTGAGGGGATAAATGTGATTGTTTCTGGCCCATTTCTGTTGTCTGTCTTGCCACACCTTCTTTTTTGGGAACAGCCCTGCACGCGTTCTCCCATCTGCTCCCACTCCAAATATAATACAAAGTCCCTGTTTCCTTCTTTTTTCTCTGCACTGCTACTTTAAAGAAAGCAAGGGACTCCGTTCCATGCTCCACTCCCTGTCATGGATATTGGGTAAACTCTTCCTGCCCGAATAAACAGTTTGCTGTCCCTTTAACAAATTAGGCCATTCACAAATGCAAAGGCCTAAAACGTTTTCTGTTCACGATGGTGGCATATTAGCAAGCCTTGTGAAGCCACATTGTATGGTTGCATGGGACAGTTGCAAGGGAGGATATATTTATAAAACCGTCATCTTATATACTGAGAAGCCTGTAAAGCCTTCTCTTTACCTTGATGCTATATCACCATGACTTCTGTTCAAAGGCTTTTCCTAGGCTGAACTGACTGAAATATGGAAGGAATGGCAAGCAATTTGTCCAGGGAGCAAGAAAATGTTCACAAATCCAGAATGATGTTGCTTCATGCATGCCTCATCAATATCAGAAGCTCGTGTTTTGCAAGAGCTGCTGATTTATTATGTGCCATCAAGTCAGTGTCAACTCTTAGCAACTCCATAGGTAGATTTTCTTCAGGGCTATTTGTCCCCAACCTGGTCCTTCAGGTCTTCCAACAATGCATCTGTTGCCACTGCAATTGACTCCATCCACCTTGCTGCTGGTTGTCCTCTTCTTCTCTTTCTTTCTACCATTCCCAGCATTACAGACAGTGGTGTGCTGTTGTTGTTCAGTCATTAAGTCATGTTCGACTCTTCATGACTCTTCATGCAGTGTTAATGCAGAGTTAATTCCACCACTCAGTTAATCCAGCCATTCTTCACAGGCAAAGATTAGGGAATATACTTCCACACCTGTCAGTGATAGCTCTACATTGATAGCTGTACAAGATATTTCTAAACTCAACTGCAGATTGGGAGTTGGAGTTATGAATGCAATTAAATAATTGCTGGATTATTAAATAGCTTTTTCATGTTTGTATTTCAAGAAAAGTCTTAAGAAAAATTCACAGATCATGAACCACTCTCTTTAGAGAGGACTGCTTTCTCTTTGAGTCAGATTAAGCACCTTCCAAATTGAGAAGAATGGATATATACGACAAGCCATACTAAATAGCCAGTTACAATCAAATGTTAATCCTCTGATAAGAGAAACCTGTCAGCACTGTTCACTAATAATTATACTACTAGGGTGCAAAAAGGTTTTGATTTTGAAACGTTTTGAGCTTGAAACATACCATTTCATTTTCTAAACAGCTGTTCCAACCTGACTAGAAGCATTCCAAAACTATTCCAACCATTCTAGAAGTGTTCCAAGTTCCTATTTTGAGTGCAAAGCATTTGTTTTAAAGCACATGACTCTTTCAAAGTAAGAATATTTCTAGAGCAGTCATATCAGTGGGAGGGTAAGGTTGGAACAACCCATCCTATTAGCCTCTTCCAAATGTGACTTCAGAAGAATTAGTTTGGAAGAGCAAGGCTATTATTAAGGAAATAGGTCTTGTAATGTGGATTACATTTTTTCCCTTATCCCTACATGGCACCGGACCAGGTTATCTGTGAGACCACCTCTCCCTGAGGGTATCTGCCCGTCCTACCAAAGCAGATAGGGTAGGCACGCTCCAGGTCCCTTCCCTTAAATGCTGCCATCTTGTCGGTCCTCAGAAGCATGCCTTTTCTGTTGTAGCCCCTGCCCTATGAAACACCCTCCCTCTGAGATCAACAGGCCCCTCCCCTTTTATCCTTCTGGAGAACACTCAAGACCTGACTCTTCTGCCAAGCACTCAGGGTGAGATGAAAATGTGGGTTGCATCAGGGAAGTGCGGTTGTGACACCTGGTTTTTTTTCCTGTTTTTTTAGTTTCATCATTTTTTGTTTTATGATTGTATTTATTATTTTATTGACTATAAGCTGCCTAAAGTTGGTTTTAAGATGGGTGCCTATACAAATGTTTTAAATAAATAAATAATTGTGTGTGGACTGAAAACTGAGAAAGCCAATAGGAAACAGGGAAGAGTTTTTGATCATCATCTCCCATCCCCATGCTAACTTTAGTTAATATACTCTCTCCCAGCCTGTTACACTGAATACATCATTAAATGCTGATCTCATGTTTGCACTTCAAAAGAGGTGTTGCAACCTATATTGTCTAATAACCTGCATTATGTTTATTGCAGAAGTAAAACAAGAAATGGATCTTTCTGAATCATTTGTCTCTGGAGCCGGATACAGGACTGAATGTCCAATAGATAAGGACAATGAATTGGTAGAAAAGGCTAAAATGGTAGTTCTGTTCTGCATCATGCATAGAAAAACTGGACTTAGTCTTAAGGTATGCCCGCAAAAGGACAAGGTACTGCCTTGAGAATATATTTTCTACACTAGTTTTAGGATTTGATCATAACTGGAATGCCACAATCACTTCCTTTTCTGGAAGATTTCTTTTTCAAAACCACCAGATCATCCCCAGAATTGCTGGATCAGAACAGTCTGGAAAAACATGAAATAGGTTTTGCACACAGCTAATTAATGACTACTCCATTTTGTAAGGCCATATATTCATGTTTATGTAACATAACCCTACTGTACTTTTTCTGCTCATTTTCCCAAGACACAGGATAATGTTTTCTGATGGAATATCCATTTATCACCTCAAAAATCTTCACGGAAAATTAGGCTGCAACATTTCCCAGAGTTCCGATCTGAGCTTAATAGATGAGCAAGAATTGAACTTAGGTCTCTTTCATTAAAATTCAGTACTACCGTGTACAACACAGTGGCTTCATTCACATGACACTATAAGCCATAGTATGTATGTATGTGTGTGTATACACATGTATGTGTGTGTGTATGTGTATATGTGTGTGTGTATAAGCTGACAAAGTCATATATGCTACTATCTTACCTCTTTCTTGTCACCCTTGGCTTGTTAACCAGACTTGGAGGTTTCCTGAGATATAATGTCCCTAAGTGGGATTGGGATTTGTGGAAACCAAGATTTAAAACTAAGATTTATTGTGGCTTTCTACTCTGGCTTCTAGAATTCCAAAATAGTGTCCATCTTGGTCCAGTAGATAGACTAAGCCTCAAGCAAGCTTCTGGTATACTTATAGTATATGTGCATTCTAATTAATCTTTTTCTGTAGGTTAGCATATCATGGGAATACAATGTCATGAGTAGTTCAGATCTTGAGGTGGAGGAGAAAGAAGCAGTGGCCAACAGCTTCAAAGCTTAACCCAAGGATTCTTCCACAGGTTCTGGCTCATGGCTTGAAGTGGATCTTTGAATCCTGAATGGAGACCTTTGCCCTAAGAAGCATTCTATCTATCTATCTATCTATCTATCTATCTATCTATCTATCTATCTATCTATCTACTTAGTTAATAAATTTATATGGCCGCCCAACTCACACACAGTGACTCTGGGCAGCTTACAAAGCATTGCAGGCAGGGAGCAGCTATTTCAGTGTTTTTCAAACTTGGCAACTTTAAGATGTGTGGACTTCAACTCTCAGAATTCCCCAG